AAGAGGTAGAGGGTACAGGAAATAAAAATAGATGGTGGGGTACAGGTGAAACAAGATTAGTTATGTACTGATAATTGTGGAAGGTGGATGATGGGTACGTGAGGTTCATCAGATTTTGAAAATGTTCACAATAAAAAGTGAAAAAGAAAAATGCTATGGTATATCAGAATTCTAGAAAGAGCACTATAACCACTAAATAGTTGGGGGTACAGAGAGCTGAGGAAGCAAAGCATGAACTGAAAGGAAGGATATGGGGAGAGTAAGTGACTGCAGATTCTATCCATGATGTGGTCTGGTAAGAAAGAACATGAAAAAGAAGAATTATGGGGGAACTTTTTTGCTTGTATTTGTATTATTGGTATACAACAGAAGAAGGCTGGAGAAGGAATAGCATCATTACAGGTGGCTTAGCCCTAATTTCTGAATTTAATTTTATTTCTCAATCTATTTCAAAACAGTCAGACTTTTAGGTAAGACTTCCTCCTTTCTCCTTCTTCCTTTTCCTCTTCCCGCAGCACTCTCAAACTACTTCTTTAGAGCTGCTGGTCCCTGGGGGGAACTGAATGTTTGATCATTGTTATCAGACAACACAAGGAAATAACACTATCATCAACTAGAGTGTTATCTGACACACCAAGCCATAAAGTTGGGTATGCACAGCAGCACTCCATCATCAAGTAGAAGCTGCATATGTGAGATCAACTTGAGCAGCTCCTGAAAGCATCAACAAGTTGTATGAGACTTGGAAGCACCTTCTTCCGCAACATCCACAATTTCTCCCTCAACTTGTACCAATGACTTTGTGGGGAGTTCCCTATTACCACCTGACTGAAAAACAAAATTCAGAATGGTTTCTAGATGGTTATGCGTAGTCTGATGAAACTATTCAGAGGTGGCCCTGAAAGACAGTGGGGATGAGAACTTCATGTACTGGACTTGAAAGAAGAGAGAACCAAAGGTTTGGATTTACACTGATTATGGGCAAGGGCTAAGAGTATGGATGGAAGGTCAACAAAACTGAAAGAAAAAGATGGGAAAATTGCTGACAATAAGGTCTGGGAAAGTGGTACGCAGAGGGTCCTCTCCAAATAGTTAGAGAATCTGTCCATATAAATGCTTACCAAGGGGACATGCTACTGAGGAGGCAGACAATTAGGTGACAAGATGATTCTACCTGTGAATGTCATTTAGCTTCTTTTTGTAGTCTTCCCAGTCCTTGTTCAATTGGCTCACGAACAATTGGCCACCATGGCATGGGCTCAATGACACCGGTTTTCTCTCATCAAGGCTGATCTGACTACAGCCACTGCTGGTACCTCATAGCAGAGACCAATACAGAGTCCCTGCTATGGCACCATTTCCCCGGGGGAAGAGCCAGCTACCTGGTAACATCGTATGCCCTCCATCATGGAAGAGGCAGCAGTTTGTGCTCACTGTAACAGATCCTTACTCCACATATAAACCTGCCTTTGCTGCCTGCAGTGCTTCTGCTAAAATCTCATGTGTGGATTTGTAAACTGTCACATTACTGTCAGTACCTCACATAGTATCATTTCTGGCTAAAAAATTCATTTAACAAGCAAAATAAAAAGACAACAGGACAATGCTCAGAGAATTCACTGGTCCATGTCCTCCATCATTCTAAGACAGTTTGCCTGTGTGCATTTGCCTATTGAAGACTCATCTTTGCCTCCTGCTGAATGACACACTCTGGGCCTGGGTGCTATTTTACAGGTTAAATATATTCCAATACATGGTACTATTTCTCCCATAGGTAGAATACACAGGTCTAGGAACCAAAGGTAGGAAGGAGACTCTTCTCACTATTACCCTTAATGATACTGTAGCAAAATATCTGTTTCTTGTCCCTGCAGTACTGGGATCTGCTGGTTTAGAGGTTTTCTACTCCAAAGAAAGACTGCTTTTACCAGGGAACACAAAGATTCCACAGAACAGGTATAAATTATAAAAAGACTTTAGGCACAAGGAATTCATAGCATCATTATTTTCTTTGTTGTTCTATTTTAGTTGCAACAACAAAATTCAACTCCATATCCAAAAGACATATCACTTATTTGAAGAATATACTAGGATTTAATATTCACAGTTTCGGCAATTCATCAATAATCCAAAGATGCACAATATACACTTTAACATGTCCTGTAGTGATTAGTTTTCCTTCTGAAAAGTGGTCTTTAAATGACAGGTTAAACTTTAGTAAATGCAGAAAAGGCATTCAACTTGTGGTGTAGTACACAGGAACACAGAACTTTCTAAAGAAATATGACTCAAGTGCGTACCAGAGTTTGAACAAGTGTTTCTATATTTAAGAGTCTGGGGATTCCCAAAGGTGTCTGGGTGTATTTGTATTTTACACCATCAGTGAGCCCCAGATAACCATAACTACTTTTGGGAGAAGTGATGGAAATTAGCAATTCCAATCCAAGCTACATCTTGGAATGGAATTCAGGAGACAATTTTCCCTTCATTCTGAACTTATGTTAAAATATGTAAAATTAAAATCGTAAATATTGATACATTTCTTTTCCTAAACAAAGACTTACTTTTTAATTATTATAATGAACAGATATATATATTTCACTTTAGCTGACTGTCAAACTGGCACTTGAAATACTGAATTCAGCAAATACAAAGGACTACAGGTAGCTAAATAATAAGTAGAAATTTAATCAAGGCACTTGGAAAGGTGAGTGAAGACCACCATAGGACAATAAATATAACTGGAAAGGCTCATGGAACTAATTTTTTTTAATGAACAGAAATAAGTATTCTATAGTGACTTGATAATGAAGGGATGTGATCACTGAGTGCTCACTCTGCAAGGCACTATTCTAAGAATTAACTAATTAAACCTCACAGTGATTCCATGAGGAGTTTATTATTCTTATCCTTATTTTATAAAGAAAGGCAGGTGAGAGATTAAATAACTTGCCAACCAAGGTCATGCAGTTAGTAAGTGCCAAAGCAAGGATCTGGACCCAGACTGTTAGGCTTGAGTCATTCTCTGATCCGCTCTGGAATACAGACTACATACCAAAGGCTGGGACTACGGCGAGGCAAGTGAGGCACTTGTCTTGGGTGCAAAATTTAAGGTGGCACGCGCACACACACACACACACACACCCATCAGTGATCAGGTTAATGTAATATTTTTAAAAATTAGAATTAATGCATAAATTCTATAATGAACAAAATATCAGACAGGATCAGGCCCCTGTGTGGCTTGGCATTGTTTCTGGTACTGTCTTTATTTAAAATTTTGTGCTTGAGGCAAGGGCCTCACTCATCTCATACCCCTCATCCTAGTCCAGGTCCTGCTTTATCTCAAAATAAAACCCAAACCAAAATTTTCCTTTATGTTAAATCTTGAGCTCCAATCAATGACTGGCTAATTTGATCACTGTAGTAGTCATCTGAACTACTTATGCCATCTTTCTGAAACACTCAAGGGCAAAAGCTTTGTATGTTGAATGAATATTAATGAATATTGAATATTCAAAGCATTCACACGTTAAGGATGAAAACAGAAATCTGTTTTTGGCAAAAGAAAATTCTATGCTTAGCTTTAGTTGGCTGTACTATCTTTACCTCATTGAGTAATCATGTATGCATTTAACAAATGTTTATTGAGCATCCACTATATGCCATGTCTAAATTAGGTGCTCCAAGAATAATGGAATGATTAAGTGAAGTTTTTATACAGAAAAAGGGGAAGCAGAAAAAAAAAACTACTTTGAGGGAATTATGGAGGACATTTTCTCATTAATCTTCATATTATCCCTCCTTTGTAGATGAGAAGACTGAGGCTCAGAGAGGTTGCGTAATTTGTCCAACATCACCCAGCTTGAAAGTGGCAGAACTAGATCAAAACTCAGATCTGCGTGACTTAAAAAAAACCTTGCTATTATTATACTAAGACAATTCAAATTTCTATGAAGACTTCAAAGCAACCTAGAAAACATTTGTAAGTGGGAAAATGAAAACATGAAACTGCTTACTAGATTAAAACTGTGCAAAAATATGTTTACATATGGACAAAAAGTAAAAGGAAATCATTGGATAATTGCAGTTAATGGTGACATTCTTTAAAAATTATACAACACAATATGAGGTATAGAAAGGAACAAGTTTAAATTGGGTAAAACGAATTCGAGTGTCACACTTGTATTTTTCACTATGTAAAATGAAAAGAGTTCTATATATAGTATGTTTGATAAAGAAATTGCAGACTTTCAAGAAAGACTTTAGTTATGATTAATCTGAGCTCCCACATTCTATGAGGTCAGTGGTTTGGTTACCATCAATACTCCAAACAAGAAAACACTATCATTAAACATGACTTATCCAAATGCATAATTGGAACTAAAACTTGCAGTTTATACCTATAATTTAACAAAAGGTCACAGCATGGTCACTGAATACAAATAAAACAATTACGAAGTTTTTGTATTTTCTTCACCATATTCAGTGACCATACACCTTATCCTTTGTGTTTATGGCTTTCAACTTATTTCCCTATTTAAGAATACCAAATTCTGACACACATTAACTAATACACACAAATTTGGTTGGTGGAACATGAATTCCAACAATTTCTTGAGAGTCTTAGGTCTGGTAAGGGAAAAGAAATACCTGGAAAGTATTTACAACAAAGAGAAATAATTTACAACAAGGAAAATAGTAATTTTACTAAACATTGGACTCACAATATGGAGTCACTTGATTTGAGAAATAATAAGTGTTCAAATTTTTTAAAATGCAAGAATGTTAAAAAGTGGCAAACTAGCAGTCATCCTAGATAAGGTACCAAGTGTTAAATAGCACTATCTATTTCTCCAATTTCTAAAATAAGTGGTACTTAACAATTGGTTAGAAAAACCTACAAAACTACTTGTAGGTTTTATTAAATTACAATGGACAGTAGAAAATATTTGCACCTTCAGGAAACAAGCAGCATTCTAAAGGAAATTAGTACTTACTTGATAATCATTTCTCTTAATATTTGGAACATCCATGTTGTGAGTAGAAGGGCAAATATCTTCATATTTTTTGCCCGTGAAAATATCAATTCCAACAAGGTGAACCTAACAGAGACGGGAGAACAGGAAACTGTTTTATCTTTGCCAAGATACCACTCATTACATACACAGACGCATAATACTAAAGCTGATTATGACAGATTCTTTCTCCTTCCAAGGTCATCTAATTTTACTTTCTTAAAAAAAAATGTAGTGGTCATACAACTGAGAAGCAGTGAACAACTAAACAGTATCATGACATATCAAGACCCAATATCATATAGTCTAGTAATTCAATCATAAGAGTGATTAAGAACAATGAATTTAGGTTCGTTAGAATGTTAGAACAGGTTTTCTCATTTGTAAACTGAATAGATTGTCTAAGTCACTAGGATTCAGGAAAGTTTCAGTTCCCAGTTAATGAAACATTATAAGGGCCCAAGAAGGAAATGTTACCTTTCAGTATTCAAATAGCTGATCACCCAGTAATTGTGGGAAGAAAAAAAAAAGTGTCATTATACACTTATAACTACAGAAACCTCATGTTCTGTAATGGAATACAAATGATCAAAATCCCAACACCAAGAAAGACCTGGAAGGGCATTTACCTTTGCATGACCGTGCTTTCCAGTTTTGGAAGTTGACATCTCCACTATTTTGCATGGTCGTCCTTTGAGCACCACGAAGCCGTTTTTGCGCAGGGCCGAACACTGCATAGGGTAAGTGCTGGAAGCCCCAGCATCTCCAGTAGTGAAATCAATTTCGTCCGCCATGGTGGGCTGGGGAGATGGTTGCTTTTCTGAGGGTACTATGCAAAAAGTTTGTTTGCTTTTTAACAACTGGCATGCAGGCAGGGAAACGCCTCATTTCGGAGAGGTTACGAGCCACGCATCATGGATCTATTATTTTTGCATTTATAGAACACCCACCCAGAATAGTGGGGACTTTCTAACTCCGGCCTTACAAACTTTTCCATCCTTCGGTGGGGAGGTGGGAGGGAAGTCGCAGAAGAGCTCGTTGAGGGGGGTGGGGATACCCGCCCAGGGCGCTCACCCGCGCTGGGGGCAGCAAATCCCGGCCCCACCGTCCCACTGCAGGAGGAGCCGGTGACTTTCCCGCACCGCGCCGCGCCTCCCGGCCCTCCGCCGCCGCCCGGATCCTCACTGCGGGGGGCCCAGCCCAGGCCTCATGTCCCCACGAAGGATGGAGATAACAGGACCTGGCCAGCAGCACCTGGCCCTCGGGCAGCGGGAGCGCACTTCTCCCCCCAGCCCGCAGCGCCGTCACTTCGACCTCTCAGACGCCCCCTGTCCTGCCGGCATCCCCGGCCCGGCCCGGCGCCTCACGGGCCTGAGCCTTGGCGGGTCCCGCGCTCGCCTCGGTCCCCCTTCCATCCTTCCTCCTCTCCACGGTCGGGGCTCGGCTCCGGCCGCCTTCCCCGGCCCTGCCTCGCTCCGGTCTGAGCCCCACCACCTTTTCCCAGAGTCTTCACCTTTCAGCAGGGAAAGAGCGCCTTTCGCCTGCGTAACCGCGCCAGTCTCCCACAGCTGCGGCGGCGGCAGCGGTGGCGACCTCGGCAGTTCCAAGACACGGGGCGGGGCCGCCACACTTCCCACACCCCGGCCTCCCCGCCCTTTCCCGCCCCCACATCAGCCCTACTTCCGGGATAGGTCCCGGCGCGTCATAGGCACCGCCCTCTCGCGCTACCATTGGCTACAAGGTTCCCGAGGCCCCTCCCAGTCACGTGAAGAGCGCCCTGGCAACCCCACGTGCTGCGGATTAGTGCACTTCCGGCGTGAAGAGCACTTTCTGGAGTTCGGTTGCTGAGGGTAAACTAGCCGGCAAGGAAACTTGCTCCCTCAAACTTTTAGGTTCGTTACGTTCGGGTCCCAGTCGAAGTTAATGGGAACCAAGCCACGCACTCGGTGGCCCTTGATGTCAGGTGCGTGGCGGTTGTCATGTGACGGCTGCCAGAACTCGCGACGCATGGGCCTTCAACGGTTGTGCCTCGTGACAGTGGAGGGAACTTTGTGTTCCAACTTCTGGCCCAACTTGCAGCCATACTTGGCGTTGAAAACCATGCTTCTTCCTCGAGGAAGAGCGTGAGTGCAGTATTTTATTACGTGGCTCCTGCTGTGGGTTTTGTGGGGGACCCTAGCCACCCGTGATGAGATTCCAGCAGCCACAGCCACTGCTGCTGCCGCTCCACCAGGATCCACCGTGCTCCCAGGGGTGGGAACTCCTGAGACGTCTGCGACCTAAAAAGCAGCGGTGAAATGACCTAACTAACTCTTCACATCAGAGGCTGTTATGGAGTTTTGGAGGCAAATGGGTGTCTGACTCCTACTGCATTGTCCAGACGAAAGATGTTCTGCCAGACGCAGCTCTTCCTTCCTCCTGGCATTGGCATTCCTTTGAGTTTGAGGTATGTCCGTACCTCATTAGACCAGTTGGGTTGTCTTGGAATCAATGTGGAGCCAATAGCGACTTGAATAGGATTAGGATCGAGATTCTTAGAAAGAGATGTGTTCTCCTTTTCTCAGTGGTTTCACAACCCACCACATTCTCCTGCCTTGGAGAGGTGACCTTTACCCCAGTTTATGTGGCCCTATGACTTTGTATTGCTGTCTCATGAAAAATCCCATTTCTCACTTTCCTATGTGGCTCTAAGTTTTTTCACAGGTATTTCACACATGTTGTCTAATCTAACCTTTACAATAAGTAAGTGAACTCTCTAAACTGAGCTCAGCCTCTACCTAATATGTGAAAGAGCCAGATTAGAACCCTGGTTCATGAGTCCACTCTGCTTTTCCTTACACCACCTAACCTTTCCCTATTATTATTAGGACAGTTACAAATATTTAAAGAGTATTTATGTAAGCAGGTAGTGCATTATTCCTTTAATTTTGACTGTTACTCCTTTTTTAACTTCAAATTTACTAAGTTATAACTTATACAAAGTGGAATTTACCCTTTTTAGTTCTATGAGTTTTGAAAAACATAGCTAAGTAACTACCACTATAATCCTATAAACAAGATATAGGATATTTCCCTCATTTCAGAAGTTTCTTTGTGCCTCTTTGTGGTCAGTCCCCTCCCGCCACACCCAGCCCCTGGCAACCATTAGCAACTACTCTTTAGTCTACATTTTCAGTTGTGGAAAAAGGCAGAGAAAAGTTGAGTAATTTGCCCCAAATTACACATCTAGCGAGTCAGAGAGCCAGGATTGAACTCTAAGGCAGTTTGGCTCCACAATCACTGCTACCACCGTATACTACCACATGCTGCCTATATACCACCATATATTGCATTCACAAAAGATTTGGATTTGGTCGAATGATCCAGCGTCATTCATTCAATATAGCTGATTCTAGTAAAGTTGCTGGAACATTGAATTAGCAAATACTGAACTATTGCTACTAGAGGAAGTACATAGTACGTTCCTGTGAGCATGACAACATTTTGGTCAGCTAATATATAATCTTGCTTTATGTGTGTTTCTGTTTGAAGACACTTTATTTAATATATATTGGTTCATTAACATTTAACTCACAGCCAACAGCACTGTAATTCATACCGAAAGGAAGCTTATCTAACACATATTTGTTCTCTGTAAGGCACATTACAGCCTTCATGTGCTTAGAAACACTAGACAGCACTTCAGTATTATGCTTGGGGACCATTTTATATAGCCAAGTCATCAACAGAAGTCACAAAAATGTGAAAAGTGGCACTAATAGACTGTGAAAAGAATACTTGTTTACAGTTTGATAGCTCAAACAAGAAGGCAGAGCATTGCCTTGTTTGACCTGGCTAGGAAAATGTGTATTGGATGACTCAAATCTTCTGCTATTCTGTGAATGTCCACAAATGACCATGAAAGCACAGTGAGTATTGATTTTGGGGTTACAAGTAAATTTTAGTGACTAGGCATATTCACAAATATGGAATCCATGAAAAATGAGGATTGACTTTTTATCTTAGTGCTCTCAGCACTGGAATTACTCTGTGGACCAAGATAGCCCCTTGTTCATTAGATGCTTGCCGACCAGTGCAGGTCGTCTAGCAATTTTAACAGATAGAATACTGCTAAAGAAATAACTACAGGGTGCTGGAATAAAGGGCTTGGTCGTCCTCATCTGGTCTAGGTATTGTCCAATTGAAGTATAATGCAAGCAACATGTAATTTTGAGTTTTATTGTAGCCACATAAAAAAGTAAAAAAGATGAAATTAATCTCAATAATATATTTTATTTAAGCCAATACATTCAAAATATTATTTCACATATCACCAATATAAAAATTATTAATAAGATAATTTTACATTTCTTATACTAAGCCTTCAAAATCTGCTATAGATTACATCTCAATTAAGACTAGCCATATTCAATAGCTGTGTGTGACTGGTGGCTACCATATCGAACAGCACAGGTCTAGAAGATTTAAAGATTACTTCTCTGGCGGTGATATCTTAATTTGAGATCTGAAAAATGAGTGAAAGCAATGAGGAGGAGTTTGGAAATGTCATTTTAGGCAAAAGGATTGGGAGTACAAAGGCCTATAGGTGTCAGAATTGTGGCATCATCCTGGACTGCATATGGTTTAGTGTGACTGGTGTGTACTCTAAAAAGAAATGGGTGAATTTGGATTTTCTCCCAAAGGCAATAGAGAAACAGTGAAATGGTACATAAGAAAATGACAAGAACATATTTTTTATTTAGAAAGACCATTCTGGTTGTGATAAGGAGAATTTTTAAGGGGGAGAAAATATTGGAAATATGAAACCAATTAGGAAGAAATAGTTAATGTTGGTGAACAAAGGTGGTGGCTATGAGAATATAGAGAAGACAGATTCAAGAGAATTGTAAGAGAAAATGGAAGAATGTCATAATTAATTGAATGTTGAGGGTCAGAAGGGAAGGGAGACACAGGATGTGAAGAAGAGGAAAGAGTCAAATTAAAAACTGGAAAGATGGTGGCACCATTTGTTGAGATAGAAAATATAAGAGAAAAAACAAGTTTCCAGGGAAAATTGAGTTCACTTTTAGGTAGATCAAGTTTAAGGTTCCTGTGGGAGAGAGTTATATGTTAAATAGAGATGGACATATGTGAATCATCAGTATATAGATGGTGATTAATGCTAAAGCAAGAGACTCACAGCTTTAAGGACACAGACTGAAAGTGAAGGGATGGAGAAAGATATTCCATGAAAATGGAAACCAAAATAAATCTGGGGTAGCTGTACTTAGACAAAATAGACTTTAAGGCGAAGACTGTAATAAGAGGAAAAGAAAGTCATATAATGATATCAGAGTCAATCCCAGAAAATGGATTAATGTTGGTAAATATTTATGCACCCAGCATGGGAGCACCTAAATATATAAGACAAATATTAACAGACCTAAAGGGAGGAGTAGACAACAATACAATAATAGTAGGGGACTTCAATATCCCACTTTCACAGTGGATAGATGATCCAGACAGAAAACAAATAAGGAAACATTGGACTAAAACTACACGTTTGGGGCTTCCCTGGTGGCGCAGTGGTTGAGACTCTGCCTGTCGATGCAGGGGACACGGGTTCGTGCCCTGGTCCGGGAGGATCCCACATGCCGCGGAGCGGCTGGGCCCGTGGGCCATGGCCGCTGAGCCTGCGCATCCGGAGCCTGTGCTCCGCAACGGGAGAGGCCATAACAGTGAGAGGCCCATGTACCACAAAAAATACAAAACAAAAACAAAAAAAACTACACGTTTGACCCGATGGACTAAACAGTTACAAAACATTCCACCTGATAGCAGAAAACACATTCTCCTCAAGAACACGTGGACCATTCCTCAGGATGGATAAACATATCCATCAAAGGCCACAAAACAAATCTTAATAAATTTAAAATTGAAATTATATCAAGCAACATTTCCAACCACAGTGGTATGAAACTAGAAATCAATTGCAGTAAAACTGGAAAATTCACAAGTATGTGGAGATTAAACATGCTACTGAACAACCAATGGATCACAGAAGAAATCGAAAGAAAAATAACAAATATCTTGAGGCAAATGAAAATGGAAACACAACATACCCAAACTTATGTCATGCCACAAGTGTAGTCCTAGGAAGGAAGTTATACTGATAAGTGCCTTAATTAAGAAGAAAAGAAGATCCCAAATAAACAGCCTAAGTTTACACCTCAAGAATCCAGAAAAAAAACCCTAAAGTTACTAGAGGGAGGAAATAACAAAGATTAGAGCAGGAATAAATGAAACAGAGGGTAGAAGGACAATAGAAAAGGTCAGTGAAAATAAGCAGGTTTTTTAAAGAAGATGAACAATATAGACAAAGCTTTAGCTACACTTACCAAGAAAAAGAGAGATAAAACTCAAATAAAATTATAAACAAAAGAGGAGACATTACAACTGATACCACAGAAATACAAAGAATCATGAGATGAACAGTTGTATGCCAACAAATTGGGCAACCTAGAAAAAATGGATATATTACTGGAAACATACAACCTACCAAGACTGAATCATGAAAAATAGAAAATCTGAACAGATCAATTACTAGTAAGGAGATTAAATCAGTAATCAAAACCTCCCAACGAAGAAAAGTCCAGAA